AGCATGTGATAAAGCAACCACCGCCTGTCTTCTCGCTTAGGTTGACAGGATTCCAGCCAATTATAGTGCTAACAGTCCTCAACAGTTACTATTGAGTGGTTAGTACAATGACGCTTTCAGAAGCATAGAGTGTATCGTCGTGACGTCGTTGTCAAATCCATTCTACTGCCCCAGTCGACCAGGTATATCTACACATCCCACCTGCCCAGTTGGTCCACAGCATGACCAGACTCAGCATCAAGAACTACACAAAAAATCCTCTCGGTAACTTGCAATACAGTTTCAAATAGTTTGGAACAGGTGCACTTGAACCATGCAAGCAATGTAGATGTCTGTACGGTATTCAAGTGATCTGGAAGCGATGGCAGTAAAACTCCTGCTTCAGAGGTTCCTATCACACGTTGATGCTACGAGTTATTTTAACTGGCGAGGTGTGCAGTGTGTGTTGGTCCCCGTCAATCATGGGCCCTCACACAGCAACGCACTTCACTCAATGAACATTACACGGCCCTCCGACATAGCATGGTAGGTTTCCAGTAATTGCTCATTTGTACATCAATACTGTAGGGAGTGTAGACTAAGTAGGGGTTGGATTAAGCGAATGATCATGGTAATACGTCTACTTTCTGTGGATCCACTTTGACGGCCACAACAGCGGAAACAACGATGCACCGCGGGAAGTAGTTGTCCTTGTCAGATTTAAGTGCGCTATCGCTATTTCGACACATCTTTCTCCTGATGTATCTGTGACTTAGACTTTGACTTGGTAATCGCCGTGTACAGCCATCGTGCATTGACCAAACCGCCCGGATCTGATGGCCGTGACACAGCATGTTTTGTCAATATGTGCTGATGTTAGAGCGCAGTCCATATATATATGAAATTGTAGGCACGTGACAAATGCACGTTGGTCTTAATTTATTATTATAAACTGACCACAATAACTACGCAATATAGCTTTAAATTCATATCTTAATTTCACCTAAAAAGAACTTATATGACAACGTTTAACGCGTCGACAAATGTTTGAGATTATCCAAGTTGACGGAGGTTGTGGAGTCTTGACCAACACAGATTTTAGAGATTCTATTTCCCCATAAGGATAACTGAAAGCTGGCAGTAGTGGAGCTGCTGGCGATTAGATCGCTAATAAGCACAATGTATAGTGTGATTGACGTTCAATTAGGACACTATTATAATACATCATGTATTTTATTTCAAGCTTAATGTTTTTGCATGTAAATTCGTTTTATAATTACCCAAACTCATTACTTAGATAATATGTGGTGTTAGAATGCATACTGAATAGGAAGTCTAGCTTGCAAGTTGCTATCTTCAGCGACTTTAAATCTCCTGCTTGTCTCTGTCGAAAATAGCTAACGCCTTTCATCCAGCTTTATCAAAGCATATTCTTAAGTAGAGGACGTTTTTTTCCCGTTGATAAGAATATAGTTATGGCCACATATGACGAGCATGTGACAGACAGACTACCATCTTCTCCGGAACTCTATAAACTTAAAAAGTGATATGAAAGAAATCTCTCATTTGGAAGTACCTGTAAGAATATACACTGCAAAGAAATGAATCAGGAGAGAAATGGTAATTAACCAGTGAAGTTGGCACCAGGAGGATAATACATCCCATTATTTCTATATTTATGAGTTATCTCATTCATTGTCAATATTGTAGGAAAGGCGTGTAATCATAATGTATTAATAAGCGTAGTGAAACAGTGTGTCGAGGTGAACAACTATTCCGAACTACAACACCCTATGTGTTTGTACACTGCAGACCAGTAAATAAGGGACATTCTTACCACAAACTCTGGAAACATTCACAGTTCCATCATATTTCAGATAAGGTTTCCTATAGTCTTAGACACATTAACATAATACATGAATGTCCATTTTTGAAATCAGCTAGAAACGAATTGATGTAATTGTGTAAGATACTTGTAATGTAAATATTGACTTGATGCTGGTTCTCAATACAGTTTTACCCAATCATGTGAACGAAAAGTTGTATACGTATTAGCAAAAAGGTTTCGGTGAGCAATGAGTAGGAGTATGAGTACATACGTTTCTCCATATCTCTTCTTCCCTCTCTTTCTTTAAATGTATTTATTCTTAATAAGCATAAGTTGTAAATATGTAGAAGAGGGCGTTCTAAGCTTGTGCCCAATCCTGAGAATATACATATGTTTATACTAAAACAAGCTCTTCCAAGACATGGAATGACTGACTGACAAGAAATACAGGGAACATAGCATTGTAATTTTCTTAACCTCGTTTCCTGATAATACTGTACATGTTTCTACGGTAAAATACCATACCAATGTTTCCTGTTATGAAATACAATTTACACGATTAGGCACAAATTGTTGCTGGACATTAACACCGCTCTATTTCAAAGATTAAGGCACATATTTTGAAATAGTGCACTTGGTGAATGGGCCTACCTGTGTAGTGTCAGATATGGATATGTGTGCTGTTCCAGATATGTGACACACAAATGTACACAGACAATAGTTATTTTTTATATATGTAATATGATAATTGCGCCCCATCCATAATTGTGTCGGAAAGGTGTCGCCAGTAATCTATATACGAAAGTTTCATGATAATGTGGAACAATCATGTTACTCGTATATATAATATATAATTATATGTGACTATTCATACAAATACCACCTGCCAGATTGTACGATACAAATACCACCTGCCAGATTGTACGATACAAATACCACCTGCCAGATTGTACGATACAAATACCACCTGCCAGATTGTACGATACAAATACCACCTGCCAGATTGTACGATACAAATACCACCTGCCAGATTGTACGATACAAATACCACCTGCCAGATTGTACGATACAAATACCACCTGCCAGATTGTACGATACAAATACCACCTGTTAGATTGTACGATACAAATACCACCTGCCAGATTGTACGATACAAATACCACCTGTTAGATTGTACGATACAAATACCACCTGCCAGATTGTACGATACAAATACCACCTGTTAGATTGTACGATACAAATACCACCTGCCAGATTGTACGATACAAATACCACCTGCCAGATTATACGATACAAATACCACCTGCCAGATTGTACGATACAAATACCACCTGTTAGATTGTACGATACAAATACCACCTGCCAGATTGTACGATACAAATACCACCTGCCAGATTGTACGATACAAATACCACCTGCCAGATTGTACGATACAAATACCACCTGCTAGATTGTACGATACAAATACCACCTGCCAGATTGTACGATACAAATACTACCTGCTAGATTGTACGATACAAATACCACCTGCCAGATTGTACGATACAAATACCACCTGCCAGATTGTACGATACAAATACCACCTGTTAGATTGTACGATACAAATACCACCTGCCAGATTGTACGATACAAATACCACCTGTTAGATTGTACGATACAAATACCACCTGCCAGATTGTACGATACAAATACCACCTGTTAGATTGTACGATACAAATACCACCTGCCAGATTGTACGATACAAATACCACCTGCCAGATTGTACGATACAAATACCACCTGCCAGATTGTACGATACAAATACCACCTGCTAGATTGTACGATACAAATACCACCTGCCAGATTGTACGATACAAATACTACCTGCTAGATTGTACGATACAAATACCACCTGCCAGATTGTACGATACAAATACCACCTGCCAGATTGTACGATACAAATACCACCTGTTAGATTGTACGATACAAATACCACCTGCCAGATTGTACGATACAAATACCACCTGTTAGATTGTACGATACAAATACCACCTGCCAGATTGTACGATACAAATACCACCTGTTAGATTGTACGATACAAATACCACCTGTTAGATTGTACGATACAAATACCACCTGCCAGATTATACGATACAAATACCACCTGCCAGATTGTACGATACAAATACCACCTGTTAGATTGTACGATACAAATACCACCTGCCAGATTGTACGATACAAATACCACCTGCCAGATTGTACGATACAAATACCACCTGCCAGATTGTACGATACAAATACCACCTGCTAGATTGTACGATACAAATACCACCTGCCAGATTGTACGATACAAATACTACCTGCTAGATTGTACGTTGGCACGTGTGTGCGTGTACGATAAATTGTATTACCATAGCGCAATAAAATCTGGCAACATGTTGATATGTTGACGATACAGATAAACTTCGCTGAACGTTATCCAATTTACAATAGTTTTGCGAATTAGATAAACGTAAACATTTTTTTTATCATAGGAACTATACATGATATATAGGATTAAAAGTTTTCCACAAAACGAAAGGGGTGGCTTATCAGGTTTATTGTTTTGATTTGATGTAGTTTTGAAGAACCGATTAGGTGATGCGTTAATAAAATAACTGTCTGTCTGTAGAGTCTGAAGCGAAACATTATCGAGCATGGCACAACTGTGTGATTAAGGTTACAGCGTACATAGAATGCTTTTGATAGCTTGTTTAAAACTTCACTATTATTTACAAACTGTTACATACAGTTACAGAAGTGGTTATTCACGCCGATAAAAGAGACTGGCCTTGATTTGAATATCATAGATACACACTGAATACGGGATAACATAATCTGGTTGATGGACTATTTAAAGGTTTGCTATTCCAAATCACATTATAGTCATCATACCAAAATCATTCATGTGAGCTTAAAACCAAACACAAGTCTCACAGCGCATTCGACATTTTATAAATATTTTGCATGTCTTTAAGGTTCGTAGTCACCACCCGTGTTTGCTGCTGTGTATGTACTTATTGAAAACAAATTATAACAACTGTCTTTTCACTTTTCATCTTTAAACATTTTCTGCTGTGTCAATTATGATTATTTTATATTTTGAGTTTAAATACTGATTTTTGTTAAGCTTGTGTTAATGACTTCAAAAGACTTAAACACTTATTATACTTACACATGAAGTCTCCCAGCATCCACTTCTCATAGCAAAAAAACTCGAGCAACGCGGCGGGTTGGCAGATTAACAAAACTAATAGGTCTGCAATACTGAGGTTCATGAGACAGAAGTTGGTGGCAGTCTTCATCTCCCGCACCCTGGAAACTACGATGATAACCAGCGTATTCCCGAACACACCCGTAATAAACACCAGCACATTAGCCACAGTCACCCACGCCAGAAGATATTCTGGACTACTTTGAACAGGAGATGGGCCTGTACCATTGTCCGATTCATTTCCCCCTAAGACGGTGTAACTGTCATTTGTTGGCATCTCTGTGCCCATCAGGAGAGTGAGATTCGTGACTGTCACATTCCCGTTCATGATGCCGCCGTAGCCAAAGTTAGTCAGCCGAGTGGAAGTTCGAGCATCTGGTTTTAAAAGCTCCTCTTTATTGATTTTTTTCCAATTATCCAAACCACGAATCAGCTGCCGCCCAGTGCTGTGTGAGAACGGTATGCAGCCAGAAATCAAGCCTGCTTCCTCTCGCTCAGGAGCCATACGCGCCGACTGCGTTTCAACGGCTGTGGGTTCTCATCGTTTCGGTTTGACTACTGTATAGAAGCGAGTCCCCATGTTGGTAATGCCTAGCCAATAGACTGATTTCGATTGCCGAACGCGCTGTGAATACATGAATTCCGGCCTGCAAGTCGTCGTGATTGCTGTACATTCATGTCGTAAAGTGATGTTTCAAAAATCCTCAGATTGAGTTCGGAAATTTGTCACATTACTTGATAAACAAATTGGCTTAAAAGCCTAGAGTTTGATATTCGACAATCAGAAGTTATTAGAAGTGAATATTTCCCCAAAGGACAAAAAGTAGGACTAATATCCATATTCAAGTGCTGGTCGGTGATAGAAAGTGTTTATAGCCCACATATTATGATAACATTTGGAGTTTCATTATTTTTCGGAAACGGCTGAAAGATTAATTTATCGATAGTTCTTTACTTGCAAATATTGGTTTGAGTGCCGGCCGTAATACAACCCACATATTCGTAGATGGTGATAAAATGAATATGAATAAAGGAGTTGGCAATTTCCCAGTCAGGCAAGCTATTAGTCTCAATGTATTATATCCAGTTATTAAACATTTATTAGTGTAACCTTTACTGACTTTACACGTCAACTTGATTTTGAATTTCCCATTTAACATCAAATAATGATTAAAACTTCTTATCGCTGAAATACTTTGGGCTACGTCGTGCTATGGCATTGAGCAGCAAACCAAAACGTCCCAAGAGGGTGTGAACAGAAATGATGTATTCTTCCAGTTTAAAATTGGTGTATTTTCGAGAGAAGGCAATCGCTTGAAACAATCTATAAATGGGACCCACAACTGATATTATTGCGATAGAATAAGAAGTGGTACACGATGTTTTCGTTCATATCTTAATCATTTAGGGTCGACGGATTCATATAACATATGTATGTCTTTTTTCAAGCAAATCGATTTAGTTCACCTAAAGGTATTGAGCAACCAGTCTTTTGTTGAACATCGCTGTTGAATATTACGTTTTTTCTTAGAAATGTAATCTCCAACATTAAGTGCCAGCGACTACGGTACCTAGGGATGACGGATCAGCTGGCACAAACGACAACAGATGCTAGTATTGCTGCTGGTAATACTCTTCGAAACGAACCTGATACGGACGCTGTCAATTGGCTGACGGTAACGTGAAGCGGGTATTGTAACGATCCCGTCGCCTTGCGTCGGGTGTCAGAAGCCGCACTCTGATTCTACGGACGGCAGTAAGTGTTGATAGCAATCAAATGGGCGGTGGAGTGGTATTGCTGTGACACAGTGTGATATTGGTGTGACAACAGCGAGTGTAATATTGGTGTGAAAGAGTAACATTTGTCAGACAGAAAGTTATACTGGAGTAACAAAGATATGTTGATATTATGATATCATGTTATATTGGTGTGACGGAGATATTGTGTGACACAGAGATGTGAAAATGGGGTTTAACGTTGCGTCCAAGATTATTGCACTTATATAGCGTGTGTGTGTGTGTGTGTGTGTGTGTGTGGCTGCTTGTACTAGTCCGGACTGATGCCGATTTGTAGTGCTAGCCCTCTAAAATACCATGCCGCTGTTTAACATGAATACCCAATCAGACACAGTATACTGACTCCGATGCGACCAGTCCTTGTTTAGCCCCTCAATGACGAGCGTCAGACAGGGTAACAACAAGTATCATCTTTTAAGACTGTTGATATGACGCAGCCTGGGATCGAACCCCTGACCTTCCGCTCTCCGGGCGGACGCTCTACCACTAGACCAATGATAGGGATGTATGTGTGTGACAGTGATATATTGGCATGACAGAAATGGTGATATTGATGTGACAGAGAAATATTGTTTAATACAGAGAGTGTAATAATGTGCATGTATAGGCGCCAAATCCACACCCAAAAGTATACTTAAAGCGCTACAATATTATCACTGGATCAGTGTGCACTCGATTGTCATTCTACACTCCCTAAGGAGAATACAGCCCAAGCTGCTCGGGAGGCTCTAAACAGTTAACAGCCACATAACGATATTATCCTACCGGGTACCCATTCACTTCTGGGTGCACCGAGGCTTATTAACAACAAAGTCATTTACATGGCCCTCATTGGCTTCCAACGTTGCCTCAATCATCTGATTTCTGACGAGAGAGAGAGAGAGAGAGAAATAAATTAACCCAAAACTTGCTCACATTTGGCCGGGAAATTCGAATGACTGTAGGCATTGTATGTGGCAGTCCAAAACAAATAATTGTAGATGCTACCAAATATACAGATAACATTAGGACAAAAAATGGAAGTAGCGTTCAAGGAGACAAAATGAGTTTCGCACACACAAAAAACAAATACAACCAGACAGCACATAGTGGCCTTTTAAAATAAGTAGATAAGGTGTGGCTTTATAAGCCTGTTCCTGGCCGAGGACAGTGCTAAGAATTACATAAATGGTGGGAAGGCACGCACGAAGTGCTATCGTAGCTGTGAAACGTCCTGTATTGGATGCAACATCTACAACAGAAAAAAAGGATATTATTTGTTCACAGGAATAAGTTGAAACACCTTACTGGAACACCTGCACAGGTACCAGACATACAGAAGCAATATCCCAGGGAACTAAACATGAAAATACAAAGTAATCTGACGGCTCAGAGATCACTGATAAGTGGTCCAACAGTTATCTGTGATGATTCCTGTGATGATGACATTAACAGTGATAAGTGCATTACATATTAGGAGATTAAGGTGCAGTCGGTCACAGGTGGCAGTTTTAACAGTACATGTCAATATACGAGGTAGAAAAGTCACCTATGACGTCAAATAGGCGACCTGTTGGAGACAGGCATCCTCCAGTCTGGCTGAATCACTATGCCTGTAAATTGTGATATCATGGTTAAATTGTGTATGCATCATATCGGCTGTTGACAATATTAGCTTTGTTAAAGTTTGAAGAAGACGAGACATAACGCTACATAAGCTTTAACAAACTGGAATTGGAATAATTTGTCATGTGTCCCAGAACTTGACTCCGGGAGCCTTCTCTTTTTTCATACCCTGAACTATAGGACTTTGACCCCAACAACGTATCCGTCTTATCTATATGTTTCTATTGTAACTGTCACCTGTAGTGACTGAGAGGAAGAACCAACAACCGCTACAACACCCCTACCGCCCTCTCTTTGATCAGTTTTTTTTCTAGAACAATCCTTGAAGCTTTATCCACAATATCGGACTAGCTATGACTAACAGCCATTCTCAGTTGACCTGGTTCTAATCCCCTAATGAATTACTCAGTAGCATTCCATTGGACTCATTTTAGGATAAACTTGCATGGATAGCTTCCATCAGTCCATACACCACCAATGATTCAGTTTCTTTCCTTGTCTCGAACTGAATTGTAATTTGTAACTTCTCTTCTTCCCTTCACCATCAATACATAACTTCAGCTCATTAATTAGCAATGTGAAATCGGCTTTCTGTTCTAATGAACAATTGTAGACATTAAATTGGGAACACAGGATACAATAACCTGTACACAAAAATTAGGGCCTATAGTGTCTTTGGTTTTGGCACGGAATAATTGACGCGCTTGTTGTCTCCTCTGTTCTATGAACTTTTTTCTCGTCTTTGCTAATACCACTGGTCTTACAAGAATTGGATCGAATCTCCTGCTTCATTGCATTCTATTTGGTTAGTTCTGACCACTTAATGAAACTAGTCCTCAGATATCTTACAATCAGCCATTGCTGTTGAAATAATATCCTCAATGCTGTTCAACTTTGCTTCGGCGAGTATCCAAATATTATCATGTTTTAATGCTTTCTTTTGCAACTTACGAGAAATAATTCTATCGCTATTCCTGCAAATCCTGAGACTCCGGCTGCTATTTCCATACCAAGCACGATAAGGGCGGCGATTATAGTTGATAATAGACTAACACCGGCGACACCGAGTCCCATGCCAGCCGTTACAAGTACAGTGTCAACTCCATCGAGAACATTCACAGCTCTGCGATACTTTTCATACAATCCAAGTCTCAACTCCATCTCCTTCTCTATTCTATGTTTTATGTCACTTATTTGATGTAATCGAAATCCGTCAATAGTATCCATCTTTTCAAACGCTTTATCGAGCACCAAATATAAACCCATAATGTATATTATTTTATCATATAATAGTCTTTAATTGATCTTGCTTAAATGTTTTGAGAGTATACATCAACCTTATTAAATGTATATTATGTGGCATAAATATCTTAGTAAGCAAAATGCTTTCACCTTTATTGACTTGGACCCCCTCAAGGGTTGCAACGGGTGATACTCCCATATAAATAATACTGCAACGTTGACGCTCGGGTTTCTTGAGCCATTTAATTGATAGACTTTCGAAGGCATCTTGTGGTGCATCTCCAAACAAGACTTCAATGATAATTGTAGAAAGATCAGGTATAGCATTCAAGTTCTGTTTTATATCATTGAATTCAGTAACCAAATTTAAACTAACATTTTTCATGCTGGACGCCTCAATAGCATATGACCTGGGTTTTCTGGCAGGGGAGTGACTAACACACTTTTCCGTTTTGAGGGGATATAAGCCCCGAGTATGATCACACTGTTAATTATCTTTGTTAAATGATGTCCCTTACCCGTCATCACATATGGTGGAGCAATGACAATATTCAATAGCCATTCGATTTTTGCTTCTACCATAGTCCATTTATTAACATCATTGCGAGTAAGATTGTATGAAGTGTTTTTATTGAGTCTACTAAGGTCGACATCACTTAAATCTCCCAGATTAGCTGTGAATACAACTTCTTTCCGCTTGTATACATTATCTTGTAAGTTTAAAGCTTATAACTTGCCATTGGTACCGAGTTTACCGAATCCTTCTGTGTCTCCAAGATCGGAAAGCGCAATTGTATTACATTGCCTAAGGTTATGCATTCCAGGGCCTGATGAAACAACCATTATTTATAATATGGAGCACTACGCTCAAGTATCCTATATGTACAGGTTGATCTTTTACATC